ACCGCTTGATTTACTTTTCTATTTCGACTGGGCCTCAGAGAAGGAAAAAAAAAAAAAAAAGAGAAGCGTTATCAAATCACAGACGCTTGATTGTTTCGGCTTGTTTTCTTGTGTTTTTCCAGGCAGCTTTGAAAATAGAACAAAGGGAGGTTCTCGCTGTTGTGTCGACGGCGTCACGAGGAAAACGTTTTGCTCCAGACAAACCAAGAGAATTTCCCCGAATCTGCTGAAACAAAAGGAGACGCAACACTGCAGTTCAGCACCCCCCCCCCCCCCCACACACACACACACACACTTCTTTATGAGAACAGCTGGTTACAGTAACTTGTCTATGAAAACAAGCTGGAGGGGTTTTGCTGCAAACACTTGAGTTGCAGAAAGCACCTGCACTTGATTGAGATCATTGTTTTCGAGGAGAGTAGCCCACTGTGTTGACTCTCGCCTTGTTTCGCATACACATCTGTGTGCTTGCACACATGCACACACTCTCAGACACGAGCGCGCAGCCTCTCTTGGCCGCATTTTGATGGAGACCTCTGGATGTGGGCCCAAGCACATCATCCTCTTCATCATGTTGCTCTCGGCAGCTTCAACAGACTCAGCATGCGGGGAGCCCAGGCCCCGTCGCCCTGGCGACGAGCCACATCTCAGCAGACGTCCCCTCATCTGGTCTGATTTTTGTTCTCCTCCTGGGTTTGTTTGTGCGAGTGTGTGTGGGCATGTGTACATCAATCTGTGTGCCCCTATGTGTTTGTGGCTGAATGTGGACACACACAAGCTGCAAGAGACTCGCTGCCGCCACGATGCGTCTGATCTTTACGAGTGAAAAGAACTCGGGAGGTTTCTTTTAGGGAGTATTTTCTGTATAATCTTTTTACTGCTTTGTGAGAGATACTGGATCATTTTTGAAATCATTATACTGAATTTTATAAAACGTTGTGAATAATTACAAAACAAATGACACTCTCACAACTGTGACGTAATGGACCAACACAGCGTCTGCAATATTGGGATGTGTCAACCCTGAGCTGCGAGGCGAAGCTCTCCGCTTACTGGTCGCTCTACATTCCTACCCTCAACTATGGTCAAAAACTCTGGGTACTGACCAAAAGAACGAAATTGCAGTTGAAATGAGTTTAGGGGTAGAGCAGCTGGACTCGCCCTAACAGTGTGAAGTTCAGTTGAGAGCGACTCGACACAGAGCCGCTGCTCCTCCACATGAAGTTGAGGTGGTTTGTGTATCTAAGGATGCCCCCTGGACGCCTCCCTAAAGAGGTTTAATAGACATGTCCAACTCGAAGGAGACCCCACGGAAGACGCAGAACACAATGGTGGGACTATGTATCTTGGCTGGCCTGGAAACACCTCGGAATCCTACTGGAAGAGCTGGGAGAGGTGGCTGGGGAAAGAGAAGTCTGGACCATGCTGCTCAAGCTGCTGCTCTCGCAGCCCGACTCCAGAACAAGCGGAAGACAATAAATGGAAATGGTACTTGTTTCTATTTGTTCATTTGAATATAGCAAGATAGTGGAAATTAAATCCATCCATCCTAGTTATGGCGCTAAGTCACATTATAAATTGTCTCGGGGCACTGTATAAAAACATTCACATACATAAAAACACCAATTAGTACAAATTCGCTATCTAAAGAAGCAGATTGTGTTGAATCTTCACTTCGTCGCAGTCTCCCATCCTGAGCAAGCACAAAGGCAACAGTGGAAAGGAAAAACTCCCTTTTAACAGGAAGAAACCTCCAGCAGAACCGGGCTCAGGACGAGCGGCCATCTGCTTCGACCATCTGGGTTTGAGCGGAACAGGAAGGAGAAACAAACGACACAGGTTCACAGCTGGTCCAGATGTACTTTCTATTGGAAGAAATACTAAAAAAACATATTCAGGATATAAATATTTACAAACATAGAGTAGAGCAAGTACAGACAGCAGCAGAGTGAGGAAATAAGGGCAATTTGTCCTCCAGCAGTCTAAGCCCATAGCAGCATAACTAAGGGATTGCTCAGGAAACCCAACCGACCCGACATGATGGCATTGTATATTTGACTACATTTCAAAAGGCTGCATCAACATTACAAGTGTGTGTTGGAAATGGAGTGCACTCAAAGGAAATTTCAAACACCTGAAAAGAGTGGAATAAAAAAAAAAGGGTGGCAGATAAACTAGTTAGCAGATGCTACAGCTCAACTTTTATCCAGGTTTTTACCAAAGTATCCCTCATGGTTTACAGTGGGGACTTTGTTGTTGTTTTTTTTTTTAATATTTTATTTTTAGTAAAGGCCTTGCAATAATTGCAATGAGTGTAATAATTGTCAAAAATAAGGTACCACACTGGATTGAAAAGTGTTGTGTCCACGGTTAAACTCCTTGATAACAGAACTTTTGTTGCCTCTCATAATCCAACTCCCCTTCTATCTTCAACAAATAAGGAGAAAAACACACACACAAAAAATAAACAAATCACGTCCTACAATCACAAATGACAGATGGAACATACCCAGAGTCATCATCTGTACAATACACCCTCTGCCAAATCTTTAAGCAACCCCCCCACCATCACCAACAACAACTTTCCAGGCTCGGCAGCTAAATAAGACTGAGGCAAAACTGAGCAGAAGTGAACAGAAGGCTAGCGTGCCAATTAGACCAGGCAGGAGGCTTGCTTCCTGCGCTGCAAGAGAAAGTGCTGGAGCTGCTTTGAAGGTTCTGCTCCTTCTCCAGGCGATCTGAGAAGAGACTGCAGACAGTCCTTCCTGCCAGTTTCTTCCTCTCTGCTGTCATGACCTAATACCACCCACTGTTCGATAGAGCTGCAGACTTATTTGAGCAACCAGATATAGCCTCAGTAAAATTGGAGTATCATTAGCGATACGATTTTTTTCCTCATTTTTTTTGGTGAATTTTTATAATTGGTTGTTGTTGTGGAGAGCAGAAGTTCCTCCACGCTGTTGCTTTTTCCGATCAAGGTCTCCTGCCTTTTCTCTGTCAACTTATCCAGACTGTCCGGTTGCTAGGCCCCGAGACAGCCCAGGCAGCTGCCACATTCTCCATGCCTGCGCGTCTGCTGGCCGTTCTTAGACGCCATCTGCATCTCAACCAGGAATGACGCAAAAAGGAGAGAGGAGCTTTACGCATACAGCCACACACCTACATCCCCAAACTTGACTCGTGCAAACCAAATGGATGCTCTCAGCCCAAAGTTTAAAAGCGCAGAGACGCTTTCTAAAATCATCACAGGGTGGTGTTATGTGGAAAAATTGCACTTTTTCAACTTTACATCATGCTAAAAAAAGGACCTGATGGAAAAGCAAGCATGACCAAATATCCATTACATTTGGGATGAATTTCAATCAAACTCTAGGCCAAGAGGTCCAAGTCAGTTTAATATCCTCGTCCCAGAGGTATTTTAATCCGCCCCTCTGAAAATTCCCCTCGTCTTGGGCATGAAAACATAAATTATTCATGACCAGTATCAATATTTCAAGATATGGACTAATCTAATTGGATTAAAGACGTGTTTAATGAGGCCTTCCGTGTCTAAGAGATGCATATTTTAAAACCTGACCATTTCACCCAGAGCTTAATCATCGTTGCAATTTGCTCATTTTCTGCGCACGAGAGAAGGGAAGCCTTTGGGGGTTTATGTACCGTATTGTAAAAAGAACAACTTTTTATTGGGCTGAAAGAAAACAAATGTGCAAAAACACGCATAAAAACACCCAACTAAACTCGTGTTCATTATATTTCCTTGTAATTTACTCGTATAAAAAAAGCAAATATTCACAGAAGACATGATTCTATCTGCTATTTTAAAAAAAACCTATTGCCGTAGATGCAAATTTTGTGCAACTTTTTCTTAGTTTAATTAGAAAGCTAAACATCAACAGCTGGTTGCTTTTGGAACGATAAACCAAAAAGCATTTATCTTTGCCTGCAGAGCAGCTTCTAATCACTGCAGTGTGACAAAACAACACGCTTAACTCTTATTTCAAACCAAGTGCAACTCATGACTCGTGTTTCTTCCCCTTTTCCCCTCCATCTTAGTTTTCCTCCCATCATCTTTTCTGGTTTCCATTTCTTTGTTTTTTTTTTTGTTTTTTTTTTTACAATTAAAACAAAGTATACTAGTCCCTCGTTTATCGCGGGGGATCCGTAACCTGACGACCCACGATAATTGAAAAACCGTGAAGTAGGAATAGTAGTACAAGTAGTAAGTAGTACCTTATTTTAGTATATACATATATATATATATATATATATATATAGATGTTTTAAACCCTTCGCACAGTCTTGCAACATTTTAAACAATGTTTCTAAATGCTCTAAAAGAGCAGAATGTCATGATTTCAGCTCCCTGCCTCCTCTGCTCTTTGCCACCTGCAAGTGCTCTTGGCCACGCCCACTCCTCCGCTCTGAACGGAGAACAGCTGATCAGCTGCAGCAGGAAGTTTATCCTGCAGTAAGGGCTGCACAAATGTGCAGCAGGTGCTAAGTAATTTAAAATGATGTATTTCAAATTTTAAAAATCCATACCGATGGTGCGGCTCATCCATCAATCAGCCAATTGTGTGTCATGTCCAATCTTATTTTGAAAAACCGCGATAGAGCGAGTCCACGATAAATGAACTGCGAAGTAGCGAGGGACTACTGTAATGCATTATTGTCTGCAGACACAATGCATTATTGTATTTTCCTTCCCATGCAGGACACTATAATTTCTTTCACAGCTTCTAATGCTGTCTGGAACCACCTCGTGTAATTATAGGTAAATCTGCTGTAAATCATATTAGCCCCAAAAGAGCTACAGTTAGTTCCCAAAGTAACACTGCTAAGTGTCTATGATATTAAAAATGAGAGAGAGAGAGACTCTCAAACATGCAGTCAGACTGACAAATGGAGAAAAGAAAAAGAGTTGGCAGACAGACAAGCAGAATCACGGATGAGCCAAGACGGGCTGACTCAAGTAATCCTGAGTACAGACCACTCACCCTGAATCCAGAAGAACTCTTCTTTGCTTCAGCTTTCAGTCGCGTTGCCTTTAGGACAGGCTTTGTCTTCTTGTAGTCCTGTTTACCTGCAATAATAAAAGAAATGTGAGAAAACTACATGCCGTTCAAAAATATCACCCATAGGCGTTCAGCTCATCTCAACACAGAAAAATTGCTCTGGTGTTTGACAATGGCGTGCACCACTCTTTGGATGATTGGATGAATAAGCATTTTAATTACTTTATTCATCGAACGCCGGTGGGGAGAATGCCTCACTTTATGAGGGTGGTAAATAACAAATGTACAAATATGCAAGCGGCTGCAAAGCTTAAAACCAACCACTTCATCCAGTGTAAACCTGTAAACCATTAAACAAATAACCTGTAGCTTTTGAATACAGCTTATTTCAGAGTGGTGCTCTTATTAAACAACAAAATAAAAGCATATTCCCATTTTTACCAAAAAAGGCTAACAGTTTTGTTTTTATTTCCTATAAGTCCACAGTAGCAGTCCTGTGTTTAAAATGACAATAAACAAACTGAATCATAGAAGGGGAACACTAAAACTTCAGAACTTCTACCGTCACGTTTGTCCACAAGTCGCAGTCGGTAAAATACAATAAATCTTTTCTGGCCTGAGCTCACCTGTGCAGCTTACTCGACCCCCCATGGGATCAATTTCCAAGAGTGAGACTTGTGAGCAAACTTGCCACCTGGCAAAGCGAGTGAGAGCGTGCTTAACATGAGGCAGAGCCGGCTGTCTCTGTCTAATTAGAAACAGCACACTGCAGGAAAGGGAACTTTGCTAACAATAGGGTGAAATGTATAATAGCCTGCTGAGAAGTGTGTTTGTGAAAGAGAGGTCGCTCTGCTTCTTCAACCTTTGTAACAGTTTTACTCTTAAAGGTGGAGGAAGAGAAGTGATTATTGTGAATTGTCAATTCAGGGTTTATTGCTGATATGTGTAAATGAAAATTTTGTTTTAGAAATCACAATAAACAACATTTTTTAATTTTTTTTTTTTTTTACATAAAATCGATTAGGTTTTAACCAGATGTGCGGTACAGAATATCTCTTGGGTCTTAAAATAACTAGATGTTGTTGACTTCAAAAATCTGAACTAAAACATGACAAATACATGTAGATCTATAATATTTTGTTAAGAGGCCTTTGTTTTTTTGGAACTGCTGATGAGTAAAGGTGGACTCCTTTGTTCTGACAGGGCGATGTTGCACAGAACAAACTTTATTCTCTCCCATCTTCAGTCCTCTCAGACCATCTTTAACTTGTTGCACTTGTTGAGCTATCTCTTTATTTTTTATTTTATTTTTTTATATATATCAGTCACACCGTTTGTCTCGTTTGTCTCTATGTGGCCCTGTGATGGACTTGCGACCTGTCCAGGGTGTACCCCGCCCCTTGCACAATGATTGCCGGACATGGGCACCGGCGACCCCCGTGACCCAAAATGGAAGAAGTGGGTAAAAGATAATGGATGTATGGATCAGTCACACCACGATTCAAACTGAGAGAGACATCAAGTCTGTTTCATCTCACTGCAGTCTAAAGACCTGGGCCTTTTGACCAAATATTACATCAGAGCTACTCATAATTGGCGCAACGTCAACGGCAATATGGGAGTGCAAGAAAAAAAATAAGCATTAAAAGCAGTCTTAACTAGGCCTGTCATGATAACAAATTTTTGCTGGGCGATTAATTATCTCAGAAATTATTGCGATAAACGATAATATTTTGTTTGAAATTTGACAATAATTAGTAATTATTGTCAAATTTAAGAAGAAATGATGGTTAATTTTTAAGTGTAGTACCTTTTGTTGACCACTGAACAGCAGTATAAGATGAACCGAAGGATGGATAGTGAGGGAGCGAGCAGCGTGCCTCTTTTAAAAAAATGGGAGGGAGGCCCCTTGATGTGACATGGGCTGTCGCTCGCTCCTTTTTTCCGGTTTTCAAAATGGCGGATGCTCGGTGTGGTTTGAGCTCTTTAGCATAGCATTTTTCACACAAAGCTTTTAATTAAAAAAAAAAAATCAGTAAACAAGTTCTCAGCGTCTTTTTGCAAAGAAAAACTTTTTACACAAAGGCACGGATTGTAAGCGTGAATTTTGGAGCTTCGACAAGATGGAGGTTTTTTTCCCCGAGGTCGGTCTGTTAGCTTAACTCATAGCTTAGCTCCTCAGCTTAGCTGCTTTTAACGATCCAAAAACGCGATTTTGGATCGTTAAAATGGGTTTTAAAGAGAAAAGAGAAAGGGAGGAGTCAGTGGAGAGCACCGGAGTTGACTCTTTTGTCATCCAGTGTCTTCAGTAGAAAGAGAGACACGAAGAAATGATAAAGCCGATAAATGAAAATGAGGTTGATAATTTTCATTTATCATGCGATTAATTGATTTATTGTTGATTGTGACAGGCCTAGTCTTAACATCCATTAAATGTGACGCTAAGGTGCATTTCACAAGTCATATTGTTCAGGGCATAATGTAATTTGCACATAAACAACTAAAATATTGTGCAATACTGTAAAACGAATTTTAATTTACCAATTTACCAACATACTTATTTTACCAACCCATTTTACCAGTAAATGGTACATTTTGGTGTGGTACAGCTTGATAACGATAGCTTCTCTGTTGTAGCTGGTTCTTTGTAACAAATACCAACTCGTGCTTTTCATTCTTCATTATGTAAGGCTAGTCAAGGTGGCGTGATCCAGTTGGATGGAACCAGTGCAGAATGGTTGTGGATCAGAAAGAACCATCAGATACATCCATCCATCCTTCTTTACTCACTTCTTCCTTTTTGGGTCGTGGGGGGTCACTGGTGCATCAAATACACTGACGTTAAATTTTGTTGCACTCTGATCACAACGCAAAGATATTCATACTTTACTGTTTCTAAAGGGTTTTTATAAACTCATTCAGTGCAACAACCACGGTATGATAATTACACTGCATTTGTAAATGACTGTGTTAAATCAGTGCAATGCAAACCAATGAACACACACTCAGGTAAAGTGGTGTGTGTGTGCAAACTCTAACGATAAACAGTTTATAACACCCACGTTGTAAGGCTACTGTCTTCTGTGGAAAATGAAATCAGGCAAAATTGTGTGAAGTATACTATGCTTGTATGTCATTCTGAAACTATATGAAGTTAGGCTCTACCAGATACAACAAGTTCTTTTTCTTCTTTTGTCTCTGAGAGAAAGTTTTACAGTAAAAAGGGAAATTAAAACAAACCTCAGAGTTAAGCAAGTGCACAAACTCACAGCACAACAAATACATTCTTCTCCTCGTTTCCTTTTTTGAGATCTCAAATGTTGTTTCTATTTCCTCCCTTCACTCTCCAACTTCTTCGCCTCCCACTGACTCTGTGAAGGGCTAATAGAAATGGGGAGCATGTTGCCAGGAGCAGACAGCTAGCTAGTGGGAATTCATTAGTGGGGGGGTACTGGATGTCTCCTCCACTTGTCAGAATGTGGAGGCGAGGAAATTTGGCTGGAGTGCACCTCGGGTTGTTCACATTTTAATACAAAATGGACAAGACTAAACTGCAAATAATAAATGAAGCTTCACTATTATTATAAAACAGTAATATTTAAAGGATTTAAAAATAAAAACTTAGAAAGACAGTGAGAATTTAAAACAAATAATATCTATATTTTACTTGTAGCAAGAGTAAACTCCTATAAAAATTGATCCTTCAAAAAAAACTTTACCTGCATCTGCTGTTGCTGAATATGAAATATTATTTGTGACACACCTGCTGGCACAAACTTGGGTAACTTTATTTATTTATTTATTTTTACACATTTGTTGTTGTTGGTTTTTTGTCTTAATGTAAAGCTGATACTATAAAGGAATGTAAAAACTATTTTTGGAGAAAGGAAGTAAACGCAAACATTTTGGAGATCTTAATGGTCAGGAGACAACATGCTTGATTGTTTTTTTGTTTGTTTTTGCACCTAATACTTTGATTTTAACACAAGTTACTAAATGTTAAACTAAACTCCATAATGAGAACCACTTGATTTAAGAAAATATTGTAGAAATTGTGTGCTAGTTGCACAAAAACAACAGTGAACTAAGGCTTAAATATGCATTCTCTATAGCTACCTATTAGAGCTCTACCGAAATAGAAATTTTGATTTTCACTGATATCGAGAGGGGAAGGCTAAAACCGATAACAATACATTTCATTGAGGACGACAAAAATAATGTTACTAACACTGATATATTTACTTCTACATTAGTTATTGTTCTGGCTAGTTTTACAAGACAAAAGCCTATGCTAGATTACCTAAACATTACCTTGCTAACTTGAGAAGCAGCTAATAAGCAGGTTGGAGGATTGAAGAGAAATTCATTATTGTTAGTTGTTTTGTTTTTTTAAAGATCAGTTGCAATAAACTTACCATGCTCTGTTCAGTAAAATACAAATACGCAGTATTAAGTGGTTCCCTGCTTCGGCTGTGTGTGCAGCATGACTTGAAAGTAGTCCGTATGCACCCTCTGCTGGATACCCTGTCCCATTACGCCATTTGCAAGTAAGGACACGGCTCGTTTCCAGCATTTTAGGGGTAAAAATTAGAAAGAGGTGTTTATATCGGCTGATAATGGGCCAATTATTACAAATGCCGATATGTCCCCAAATACCCATATCAGTATCAGCACTACCGATATATTGGTCGGGCACTACTACTTATGACAATATTCATGCAAATCTTTTTCCCTGGCAATTTTTATTTTTATTTTGGGGCTGAGCCTGAGCTAAAGTTACACACAAAAAACATGTTACAGGATACTAAACTCCACAACAACCCAATACATTTGTAAGAAGCAATCCCAACTGGAATTCAATGGAATAAATACAAAAACAGTACGTGACTAGTTGAAAAATAAATGCTAGAAAATTACATTAAGCTGTGTTTAGGATTATTTTATTATTGTGTTAAATGCTGAACTTCTTAAAGCAATGCACTGGCTTGCTTTAGTTATATAGGTGCTGACAGTATCTACACATACAGTTTTGAGGAAATTGCATTCGACTTATGAGACTTCTATTTGTCATCACTATTCCCACAGCTGCACCAGAGCAGTAGAAACTTCCTGCCACCAATTATCTACCTGCATTGCACTACAAGCCACTATCACTCGTGCTGGTTTTCCCAGTTTCTATAGTGCCAACGCTTTGGCTCCAGACCAAGAATACTGCAGTAACAACTCTTTTCTTTCCAATAGATGCTTGTGAATGCTCCTCAAAACCCCGCTTCCACCATAACTAGATCTATGAGCAGTGTTTCAAAGTTTATTTTCAAACATTGTCTAGAATCAGCCAACAATTAGTAATCCTGCTTGAACTAGCGTGGGCTTTATTAAACTCACTCACAATATCAGACCAGTGACATTAAATTGGATCTGGTAATTTTTTCCCATTCAACAAAAATGGGTTCCAGATATAAGCTGGAAAAGCTGTTGGAGCCATTATTGTTTTCGTAACAAGGCTAGCAAGCCGATTAAAAAATATACATTTCTATGCATTCTAGGCATTCTACATATGTGGCAACATGTTCATTAATAGAAGTTTTAAAATATTATCTCTGCAACTTATTTATTATAATAAGAACCCACAAAAATGAAAATAAAAGCTT